TATTTTTGTACATAACATCCATAAGTACGAGAATTGGAAGAGATCGTCTTTTTTTTTTTCTCTTTTTTTTTTTTCTTCGCTCTTAAATGATCGCAAATATTTTCCCAAAAGACGAGGGAAAGAAAATAGAAAAAAAGCAATAATGGAATCCGTTCTCATCAACCTTGGAAGATCGACAAGACGTTCTGGCCCTGACCTGATCCGGAGGAACCAATTGGTCAAAAGCCAGAGACACTGCCAGGAGGCTGCGGCTGGGTACCAGGTACTCCACTATACACTTGAGCACACGACCAAAGCAAAGTCCCCAGTACGTACTCCAGTTGACACAGTTAGTCAGAGCTTAAGTCAGCCACTCTCCTGGCTCCAAAACGTCAACCCATGGCCTGTTCTATATATACACTTCTACCTTTCAACAACTTTCAACATCCGGTCGCCTCTTTCATTTGCGCCCTGGATATCCCGCCATGAACAACGACTGAAACTTGCTTTCTTTCCTCCTTCTTAGCTTGCGCTGTTTCTTCAGCATGTTCCCCGTATCTGTGTCGCCTATCTCGGTGGGCTCAAACGTCTTTTTCGCATTTGCCCTGTTCCTCATCTCCGCACTTGTGTTACTTCTCCTGCGACGGTATCTCACCCTCCGCGCCACCCCTGCTTATTTAAGTGTCCCTATATTCCTGGCTCTGGCTCTGCCCGCCAGCGTTGTACTCCTTGTCCCTATCGATTTGGCGTCAAGCTCGCGAGATGGATCTGGCCCCAAAGCAATCTGGCTACCGGAGCGAATGGTTCTGGTATGCTGGCGCATTGCGTACTGGCTAATCTTCGTTCTCACCTGGTAGGTGTCCCACGTTCTTCAACTTGACCAAGGGCTGTTACTCATCCTTGTCTCTCTTACAGGGTTATCCTCCCATTACTCGGTGAATACGTCGACTCGGGCTACCGTGAGCCTAAAGGCCGGCTTGTGTACTCTCTTCGATCGAACGCCAAATACCAGTTAATTGTCCTGGGATGTGCTCTGGTGGGGTTGATCTACGTTTCGATCTCGAACGGGTTCGAATTCACATCAATCAAAGGTCTCGTCATGGCACTGGCATATGTGTGGGGTCTTGTCCTTGCGATTTATCTGATGGGCCACGGTCTTGTTTCGATCCCGCGCAATTTGCTCCGAAACTCCAACGTGAGCGGTCGGCTACGCAGACTCCAGGCACATGCGCCTAAGGTGCATGATCGGCTGATGGACTCGGTCAATGAGTTGGCGAATCTCAATGGCCAGGTTTCTCAGCTACAGCGCCGTAAGACAGGAACTGCTCGTGACTTTCATGAATGGATTGAAGAGCTTCGGGAAGGACACGGCCAATCCGACGTGCGAGCCCCGATCCTCGAGTCACCGGATACATCCGCCACGATACCTTCTGTCATCACGGAACGCTATCTGGCCGACCTCACACGGCGGCTTCAGCGTGCTCGGCATATGAAAGCCCGATTTGTGGATGAGTGGGATCGTCTGGTCCAGTTATCAGCCGATCTCCAAGCCATCATCAATTCTGCAGCTTCAAAGAAGCTTGAATTTGCACCGGCCGCACGTCGGTCATCCTGCATTCCTCGCGTGAGATTTCTCACTCCGTACATGCGATATCAGCTATATTCCAACGTCATTCCCTCGGTCAGGCTGGCATTGGGCGCGTTCTTCGCAGTGGCATCAGTCTGCATTGTTTGGTCGGAAATGATCAAGTCTTTGGCGCCCCATCTCTCCGCTGTGAGTTTAACCGTGGTCCCCAACTGGAAAGACAATCCAGTTGGCTTCGGTGGTCAGCTCACAGCCTCTGCCTGGCTATTGTACATGTGTTCGGCGGCTCTCGTTGGTGTCAGTGATGTTAAGGTATGGGGAAACCGCGCACTTGTCCGTCGTAATACATATGGCGAGAGTGCATGCTGGTACGCTGGTCTCGTGGCTCGGCTGACGGTACCAATTGCGTACAACTTCTTGACCTTCTTACCTAAAGAGTTCCGGCGATCCACCACTTTCTACGAATTCCTTGGCAAACTCATCAACCTGACACCTCTCGGGAAAGGGTTTGACTTCATTTTCCCGATCTTCATCCTTCTGCCTATCTGCGCAACACTGTTCAACCTGTACGGGCGTATCAAAAACATCTTTGGGTGCGGCCTTGCAGAGGACGATGATATCCACGATGTCGAAAACAACCCTGCCGGGTATGGCATGGGTGGCTGGCGTGAGGGTCGCGACCTCATTGAACGGGAATTAAATGGCTTCGGTTCTCTAGCAGTGTCCTCCCGTGGTAGTCGCTCAACGTGGGCGTCGGATCGTGACGATGAAGGTTCCCCTGGGTCATCCAGACTGCGAGTCCCGGTTGCAGAAGGCTCTCAGCCTGCGCAGAGGTCAGTTGTTGCGCCTACTATTGTGGAAGGCGAGGATGAAGAAGACGAAACCTTCTTCCAGTCCTTTGCGCACCGCGTCAAAAACACATTTGATACTACCAACACTCCTCGATGGTTCCAGGGTGAGCCATTCCGACTTCCGCGCTGGATGTCGGGTGATAACAATACCGCAGAAGAAGGTTCGGCGCTGTTTGGAGGTCAGGCTGTGCCTGGTCGTCTGCGCCTAGGTTGAACTTGCATGGCGGTGTTTGACTCTTCAACTGCTGGACAGTGTAATATACCGTTTGGCTTGTACATAGCTCAATTCGTTTTTCTCGATTAGATACACCAGTTGAAATTGAACATTTCTAAGACATAAGAAGCCCGGAAAAGTTTTACTCATCGCCCTGGTTTCCTTTCGTGGGTAGATGAAGTATAGGTTGAATAAAAAAA